ATCTCAAGCAAAAAAATAAATCTAGAGGCATCACATTACCTGATTTCAAACTATACTACAAAGGTATAGCTAGCAAAACAGATTTGTACAGGTATAAAAGTAGATACATAGACCATTGGAACAGAATAGAGAACCCAGAACCAACTGATCTTTGACAAAGCATACAAAAACATAAATTAAAGAAAGGATACTCTATCCATAAAAAGGTGCTTGAAAAATGAGATAGCCACATGTAGAAGAATGAAACTGGAGAATGAGATAGCCACATGTAGAAGAATGAAACTGGTACCTGTCACTTACCATACGCAAAAATCAACTCAAGATGGATCAAAGACTTACGTGAAACCATAAAATTTCTAGAATAAAACTTAATAAAAACTCTTCTGGATATTGGCTTAGGCAAAGAATTTATGACTAAGACCCAAAAAGCAAATGCAACAAAACCAAGAATAAATAAATGGGACCTAATTAAACTAAAAAGCTTCTGTACAGCAAAAGAAATAAACATCAGAGTAAACGGGCAACCCTCAAAAGGAGAGAAAATATTTGTAAACTATGCATCTGACTAAGGACTAATACCCATTATCTACAAGGAACTCAAACAAATCAGCAAGAAAACTACAAATAATCCCATCAAAAAGTGGGCAAATGACATCAAGACACTTCTCAAAAGAAGATGACCAACAAACATACAAATGACCAACAAACATAAAAAAAAATGCTCAACGTCACTAATCATCAGGGAAATGTAACCTAAAACCACCAGATATCATTTTACCTCAGCCATAATGACTGTTACTAAAAAGGCAAAAAACAATAGATGTTGGTGTGAATTTGGTGAAAAGAGAATGCTTGTAGAATTCTGGTAGGAATGTGAATTAGTACAACCTCCATAAAAAACAGTACAGAGATGTCTTTCTTTCCTTCTATTTATTTATTTATTTATTTATTTATTCATTCATTTATTTTTGAGACAGGGTCTTGCACTGTCACCCAGACTGGAATGGAGTTGCCTGATTTGGCTCACCACAACCTCAGCCTCCTGGACTCAAGTGATCTCCCATCTCTGCCTCCCAAATAGCTGGGCCTACAGGTGCATGCCACCAAGCCTGGTTAATTTTTTTTTTTTTTTTTGGTATTTTTTTTTATAGAGACGGAGATTCGCCATGTTGCCCAGGTTGGTATTGAGCTCCTGGGCTCAAGCAATCCACCTGCCTCGGCCTCCCAAAATGCTAGGATTACAGGTATGAACCACCACACCTGGCCATGGAGATTTCTTTAAGAACTAAAAGTAAATCTACTATTCATTCCAGCAATCCCACTACCGGGTATCTACCCAGAGGAAAAGAATTCATTATATATATATATATATATATATTTTTTAAACCTGCACATGTATATCTATTACAAAACAATTCACAATTGCACAGATATGAAACTAATCTAAGTACCCATCAACTGATAAACAAAGAAAATGTGGTGTATATACACCATGGAATACTACTCAGACACAAAAAGATAATGAAATAATGTCTTTTGCAGCAAGCTGATGGAGCTGGAGGCCAATATTCCAAGTGAAGTAACTCAGGAATGAAAAACCAAAAACCGTAGTTCTCACTTATAAGTAGGAGGCAAGCTATGTGTATATAAAGGCATATGGAGTGGTATAATGGATTTTGGAGACTCAGAAAGAGGGAGAGTGGGAGGGGAGTGAGAGATAAAAAAGTACATATTGGGTACACATATTGGGTGACAGGTGTACTAAAATCTCAGAATTCACCACTATATACATGTGTGTGTGTGTGTGTGTGTAATTCATTCACGTAACCAAAACCCACTTGTACCCCAAAAGTCATATATATATATATACATATATATAATGTGTATATATATGAAAACAGAAAGCAAATCTCTGTCTTCTAAATCTTAAGTCATAGCAAGAGAAACATTTCATCATAAAATTCTAGGTTTGGAAATTTGATTTGTCTCCTGATCAACTGGCTGAAACATCTTTCTGTTAATGTTGATTCCTTACACTGGAAAATTCCTAGACTATTATTTTGTATGAGTGAGAATTTCTTTTCTCGTTTTCAATCCAAACCACATAGAAAGAATGTAAAAATGGAGGCTGTGCACTTTGAATTTATTCTCAGCATTTAGGCTGCAGTATTACAGCCCAATATTCACCAGTAGGAGGCATTATCTAAACATGTTGAGAAATTTTCATTCCTAGGGAATGACATTGTTTCCTTATCTGGCTGAATTCAGTCTGAGAAGAAGGACTGTTGTTTCTAATGAAGAAAGAGCTCCACCCTCGGGCACTGCCACAGCTGCTCTGCCAATAACAAAGGCATAGCATTTTCCCTCTTGTGCATCTCCAACATGGATGCTTTTCAGGGCATTTTAAAATTCTTCCTTAATCAGAAAACTGTTATCGGCTATAGCTTCATGGCTCTGCTGACTGTGGGAAGTGAGCGTCTCTTTTCTGTCGTGGCTTTTAAGTGCCCCTGCAGCACTGAGAATATGGCCTATGGGCTGGTTTTCCTCTTTGCTCCTGCCTGGGTGTTACTGATCCTGGGATTCTTTCTGAACAACAGGTCGTGGAGACTCTTCACAGGCTGCTGTGTGAATCCCAGGAAAATCTTTCCCAGAGGCGACAGCTGCCGTTTCTTCTACGTCCTCGGCCAGATTGCCCTGAGCTCATTGGTGGCTCCAGTGATGTGGCTTTCTGTGGCTCTACTCAATGGAACTTTTTATGTATGTGCCATGAGTGGGACGAGAAGTTCAGGACTCCTGGAACTGATTTGCAAGGGTAAGCCCAAAGAGTGCCGGGAAGAACTTTATAAAGTATCTTGTGGCAAAACTAGCATGCTGCCTACCATCAGTGAAGAACTGAAACTGTCCCTTCAGGCTCAGTCTCAGGTAAGAAAAGACAAACTCGCCTTTTTCTCCCAGTGTGAGCTTGAAGTATTCTCTTTGTCCTCCTTTCAGCCAGGGCTGAGTCTGTATCCTGTCAGAATATTTTGAAACTAAATGGAAACTGAAACACGATGCAGCATTGACACTATCTCAGGAAAAGCTTTTTAAAGGCTGGATGGCTCAGTAAAGTTGCTGACTGGATTATCTTTTTTCCGGTTCCAAAAAGAAAATATCCTCTGGATTGCCCATATGTAAATACTTAAGTACTTTAAAACAGTCTCTCTGGGTTGACTTTGTAAATAAATAATACCTAACACTGAATCATAAATTGAGTGTTAATGGCAGAGCTGTAATTAGAAATTACTGCCTTCTATCAATTATTTATCTTCAAGTTAGTTTCTCAAACACACATATACATTATTCATCTATTAAAATGTAGCTGAACGAAATTAGTTAATACTTTTCAAAGTTGCATGTAATATAATTAGTGTAGAGATTCTCTTGAATACTGCTATCTCTGTGTATACATATTGTCAAGATTGGGAAGAATTTTCCATGTAAAGTAGAAATCAGCTATCTTTAAATAGCCTTCAGTGAAAATGTGACCACATTCTCTAGGGAGGTTATGTTTTATACTCTGTGCTATACAGCTAAAGGAGTTCTTAATTACTTCAGAAGCTCAAGATCGGGGCATTGTTCCATTTAACAGAAGGAAATTATATCTTTACCTAATTGATACGAGGAAGTAGCCTGTCATTCCTCCAGGCACATGAACACAAATCCAGATGTACAGCCTTAGGAAGGACGGGCTTCCCATTTATGAGTAGTAAGAATTGCATTTCCAAAAGCAAAACAAGCAGTAAGAGTTCATAAGCAGATCCACAAATTGTCAGAAATGCTATGTGTTTCAATATAAAGGGACTGAAATAGCACTATTTTACTTTTTCAACAGGCATTTGCCTTGGTAACAACACATGAAGGCAAAGTCTATTTTAAAAATCATACATTCCAAAGCTGGTTGGTGGTAAAGTCATACTCTTCATAAATTGTTAAGTCAAGAAATGCTCCAAAACAAAATCTTTTCTTTAATGCATAAAGCACATCTTAGATAAAACATGTCAGGCTCCCAAATGTCTTGTGTCTTTTATTGAAGAAGGGTATAAGTTACAACTCTTATGATAGAGTGATTGATTTATGGTTTATGTCCTCAGGCACCAGGCTCCATTTGACAGGGCAAGGCCCAAACACTTACCATTGTGTGAGCATCTCTTCTCTAAACACAGGCACAAGGAAACCATGCACATCATGTCATAGCTTAGGTTGAGCACACTGACCTGCTGATTTTTCATCAGAATGAGAAGGACCTGGGGCTGATTCCCGTGGGAAGATGCAAAAGAAATGTAAGCAAGAGGAGTTGTATCAATAGCAGGTGCTGACTATAGAGATTCAGACAGGCAGGAGGCAACATATAGTACAGACCAATAATAGTTGGGCATGTGGTTGGACGTGGAAAAGTACATTCATTCATGGGTGGGGCAGAAAAACAAACAAAAAATATCTAGCTGGATGACTCTCTATTCCCAAGGAAGGTAGAATGGAGTAGTGGAAAGAGCTCAGTCTTGGAACTGTCTGGCCTTAAGTTTGTATGTTGACGCTACCAATCACCAGCTATGTGACCTAGAACTGGTGGTTCGACCTCTCTGAATCCCAGTTTTCTCATAGTTGGTGGTAATATCATCTACTTTGGAGAGTTGTTGGAAGATTTAGAGATGACAGACATAAAGAGCCATAAAGCCTCTCGTACATAGTAGGTGTTCCAAGTCAATGAGGAAAACTGCCAGGGTTTGGGGGAGGACATATGCAAAATGGAACACAGTTGAGGACTGGTGTGGAAGCATCCACCATGCTCTAGTTTGACTCTGGGTACTGTGAATTGAGGGGAAGGATCGGTCAATGCAAAGGTCCTGTGAAAGGGGAAGGGGACCTAAAGCTGATGGAATAGTTTATAACTCCAGTGGAACTGGCTAAGATACTAAGATGAGATGGCCTATAGAAGTCTCAGCTGTGGAAAAAGAGGAAGACAGATGATGAAGGAAAGAGGAAGATTTAAGGTAGCCAACCACAAGCCATTCAAGGACTTTCACATGATGGTAGTTGTGCCTCACTCATTAATTATAAGTACAGGAAGATATTATGAGTTCAGTAATACATTTACATAACTGTATATGCATTTGAAGAATGGCAGCATGTAATATTAGCTAAAACTTAATGAATGCATGTGTGCAGCATCATTTCATGAGGTCCACCAAATTATGCTTCAAGGTGGGTAACCCCCATTTCACAAGTGAAGAAACTGAGATACAAAGAATATGCATAGTAAGGGGAAAGTTTAGATTTAAACCTGAGTAGAGCTGGCATTGGTGCAGAGGTTGAGACTCTTCATAAACAATTCATATCTGAGCCAGAGGTTGGGAACCACTAATTTAAAGCTTATTTGTGGTTTTGTTATGGCTTGAATGGGTTCATTTGTAGATTATTATTTCTATTTTCAAGTAGGCCCATCTGCTAAAGAATATTAAGACTTGGCCGGGCGTGGTGGCTCACGCCTGTAATCCAAGCACTTTGGAAGCCAAGGTGGGCGGATCACTTGAGGTCAGGAGTTCAAGACCAGCCTGACCAACATGGTGAAACCCCGTCTTTAAAATAAATAAATAAATAAATAGAAATTAAAATTAAAAAAAAATATTCAGACTCATTTAAGCTAAATGTCCAGAGACACTTTGAAAAAGTGTTAGTTTTCCAAATACAAAATTAATTCCAATTATGAAAACAGAATTAGAGGGGGAAAAGTTAGAAGATAATTTGAGCTATTTAAACTTTTGCTTTTACAATTTGGAAGAAAAAAAAAAACTGAACCATTTCATATGCAGGAAAGAATTTGTTTTTTCTAATTACCAAAAATCAAGACAAATAATTTTCAAGTTTTGAATGATCCTAATTTTTTCTCAGCCTTTAAATTGTTATAGCTTCAGCTTCCTGAATGTACCATCTGTCTCCCTTTTCCACGGGCAGTGAGTAATGACAGAAAAAAACTAGTCACTGGCCGTGTATATATATTTATCAGTGCCTAAAAACACCTGGCTGAGGAGCTGGTCAACTGACCACATTTACTTATGCACAGAATTTTTTCCTCTCACAGCTAATACTATTAGAGGTTGATTTATCTAAGTCTTACATAATCTATACCTTGTACTGTTTTCCATATGCCTGCCTTCTGGTTATTTCTTTGCACCAGCAATGCTGGGGAGGAGAATAGAGATTGGGTAAACCCTAACTTTATTTTGAGTCAACCTAACAAATTCAAAGAGTTTAAAGGGTTTAAAAATTAATATGAATCATTTCAGATGAGGTATGCCAAAGACTGTGGTAATAATTTAGCTATATACTTCTCAATAATACCACCCTAGCTCCCTAAGTGACTTGGCTTTTACATGTACTCAATATTTCTTTCTTCTTAAGATTCTAGGATGGTGCCTGATTTGTTCAGCATCTTTCTTCTCTCTGCTCACCACGTGTTATGCTCGCTGCCGATCTAAAGTTAGCTACCTTCAGCTGAGTTTTTGGAAGACATATGCGCAAAGGGAGAAGGAGCAGTTGGAAAATACGTTTCTGGACTATGCCAACAAGCTGAGTGAGAGGAACCTGAAATGCTTTTTTGAAAACAAGAGGCCAGATGCCTTTCCCATGCCTACGTTTGCTGCCTGGGAGGCTGCTTCAGAGCTGCATTCTTTCGACCAAAGCCGGCAGCACTATAGCACCCTCCACAGAGTGGTGGACAATGGTCTGGAACTTAACCCTGAAAATGATGAGACGACAATGATTCTTGTGGGTACTGCCCACAATATGTAGTTCATCCACCATCACTGACTCATGGTGTTGAGTGGTGTGCTCATTTCGGGATTCTCCTAATGTATCACCAGCAACCTCGATATCTTCTGTATTTTCTTACATTTAGAGTATCTTTATAAGACAGTAACACAAAGGAAACTGCTTTGAAGTTCTCAAGTGGAGTATCAGAATGTGCTCAAATTGATACTGAGGGGTCACAAAAGTGCTCTTGCATTGGTGGAGAGTGGGCTCAGTAGGCCCAAATGTTGGTCCAAGATCTAAGATTTTATCATTCAACAGACAGACTTATGTGAGAGGGCTCATCCGTCTCTGTAAATATTGGTTGCAGAATTTAGGGGCAGAGGCAATGGCTCGTGGATGAGCAAGTTACTCTTAACAAAATTGCCCTACACAGTGGCTTCTGCTGTGTGATCAGCAGGATAGAATTAATTCCCTCAGAATCTGAAGACCTCAGTCCTCAAAAATAATTAGTTGCAAGAATATGATGCCTAAAATTGAAAGTTTTACGCACATTTTCACTGTATACTGAAAATATGCCCCTGGAAGCAGGGCTGCGTCATGATTTTTGTGGGTTTTATATACTTTTGCCTTTGTGAACCACTTCCTACTTTCAAAATAGCAGTAATAAATATATAGATATATAACAAATATATATACAGAAATATATATTTATAACTGCATTGGGATTAGGGATGTGAGGGGTAGAGTTTTCAGAATGCAGGGAGACAAAATTCAGCAAAGAATTCTTATTCTTTTTTTTTTTTGGGACGGAGTTTCGCTCTTGTTACCCAGGCTGGAGTGCAATGGCGCGATCTCGGCTCACCGCAACCTCCGCCTCCTGGGTTCAGGCAATTCTCCTGCCTCAGTCTCCTGAGTAGCTGGGATTACAGGCACATGCCACCATGCCCAGCTGATTTTTTGTATTTTTAGTAGAGACGGGGTTTCACCATGTTGACCAGGATGGTCTCGATCTCTTGACCTCGTGATCCACCCGCCTCGGCCTCCCAAAGTGCTGGGATTACAGGCTTGAGCCACCGCGTTATTCTTAATCTTTCTTGACTTAAGCTTGCCTGCCCTTGAGTGTCAGTATCGCGAAGAAGCTTATTAGAAAAGCAGGATCTGACAGTATCTAAAACCTGTTGACTCGAGCCTGCAGTTTAACATGATCTTAGCTGATTCCTGTTCAAGTTAAATTTGATAACTCTAGTGTGGTGGTTCTCAAACTTTAGTCTATATAAAAATCATCTGGAGGGCTTATTAAAAGGTGGATTGCTGAACTCCACCTCCAGAGTGTCTGATTCAATAGGTCTGTGGTGAGGCAAGAGAATCTGCATTTTAACAAGCTTTTAGGTGATACTGATGCTGCTGATTTAAGGACTACATCTTGAGAATAACTGCTCTACAGCACAGAGCAGGGTATTCTGGGGAGGGGAGGCTGTAAGAAATTCAGAATCCTGGGTTGTACCCCAGATCTACTGAATCAGTCATCAACCTATCCAAGACTTTGGAGTGCCTTTCCATTCATTCAAGGATACCTTTGTCCTTTGGGAATATTTTAAAGTTTACTTCACATAAGTTTTACATGTTTCTTGTAAACTCTATTTGTAGGTGTTTTCTTTGTTCCTATTGCAAATGATTTCTTTTTCCCGCTGTATCTTTCTAAGTAATTGTTGTCTAAGTACGTGAAAAGCTATTGTCTTGTGCTTGTTAATTTTATCTCTCTACTAATTCTTTTATTGTTTATAGGGCTTTTTAGAATTTGAAAGTAAACATTTTGCAACCCCTAATGACATAATGGATCTAGACAATAAATAATGAATTCTAAACTATTAGGTGAAAGCTGGATGGGGTCAGGCCTTTTGCAATTTGAAGCCACTCATCTATATTAGCATCACTAAAAATCACAACCAGATATTATGTGCCTTATGAGGCAAGGCAAGAATAAGTACATAGTACCACCTGTGAAATATTGTTTCCTAAAAAGCGAAACCTAATACTTGTTTACAAGTATTGAGACATTACATTGCTAGTTTATAGGAAATGTGAGCAACAGAAACAAGGCAATAAGCACCACAAGAAGACAAGCAGATACATCTAGATACAGAACATTCCAGTTTACATATGACTCAGTTTCCCCACAGATTAACAATATTAATAAAAGGAGAATAAAGGAGATATAAGAGACTTAATAACCAGAGATGATATATAGACCTTATTTGTATCCTGTTTCAAACAACCAACTGTAACAAGATACCTTTGAGATATTTAGGGAAATATGAATGAATATTAGATGACTTTTAGAGAATTATTAATTTTGCTATGCATGATAATGGCATGCTGGTTTATGTTTTTTAAAAAAATTCTTCAGTTAGAGATGCATATTTTAATATTTGTGTGTGAACTGTCATGTCTAGAAGTTTCTCTAAAATATTCTAGGAAAGACTGGGTGCAGTAGCTCACACCTGTAATCCCAGCACTGTAGAAGGCCGAAGAGAGTGGATCACCTGAGGTCGAGAGTTCGAGACCAGCATGGCCAGCATGGTGAAACCCTATCTCTACTAAAAATACAAAAAAAAAAAAAAAGAAATTAGCTGGGCATGGTGACAGGTGCCTGTAATCCCAGCTGCTCAGGAAGCTGAGGCAGGAGAATCGCTTGAACCTGGGTGGCAGAGGTTGCAGTGAGCCAAGATTGTGCCATTGCACCCCAGTCTGGGCAACAAGAGTAAGATTCTATCTCCAAACAAACAAACAAACAAACACTCTAGAAAATAATCAAAGTTTAGGGAGAAAGCTGAAAGACAAAACAAGAATGGCAAAATATGGAAACTTTTGAAGCTGGATAGTAGGTACATGGAATTCATTACATTATTCACTTTACATTTGTATATGTTTGAAAAATTTCATAAGGTACACAACAAAATAATTCATATGCTAACCTCAGTTATTTTGCTGAAGTTTTGTCAATCACCTCCTGCTTGGCTGGAGTTTACCTTCTAGTACCATTCTCAGCAAGGGCTCGCAGGAATGTCATTCCCTGAATTCTTAATATTTAGCCTGTTGGTCTGTTCTGTATTTGAAGGACAGCTTGGCTGGTTCATACTTTGTCTATGTGAGTGTATTGTAAGCATTATTTCATTGTCTTTTGTCATTGAATATTGCTGAGAAGCCACAGCCTGATGTCTGATGCTATCTTTATTTTTTTCTTTATTACGAACATGATGTTTTATCCTATATTTTCATTGGTTTCTTTATCTTTCACATCCAAAAATGTTAAATAGGCTTTCAGGTACATCTTTTTGGGTCAATTTTCTGCTAAAAATTATACCCTTTCATTGTGGGAATCATTTTGTTTTATTTCAATGAAAGAGTTGGAAATTTTTCAACTTATTTTCCTTTCTGTTCTATATGATTTTCAATAAACTATATTATTTTGAATTCAAAACTAAACTGCTATGTTCCTATTGGAATTTAATTTAATTTAAAAAAACTAAGTTAACTTGAAGTTTTGGCTCTTGTTTCACCTAAGTTTCACAAGCATACTGGGAGGGAGGTATTACCTTTTCTGTTTGTGTAAATAATGCTAGAGTCCAAAAAGGCTAAGGTGGTTAAGCTACTGTTACATTATAGAACATCATTTTAGATCTACACTTGTCTAATTCTGATTTCCATCACACAAATTCTACCTGATTTTAGTACATTCTTGAGTGTTCATATAACCTTTCAATATATGTTCCCTTATTTGTAAAATGAGGATGTTGAATTAGTATATCTCAAAGTCTCTTTCAACTCTGTTTTCCCAAATCTTAGAGCCAGTAGCGTAGGAATTCCCAGTCAATTGGATTCTTAGTGTCCTCTTGCAAATTGAGGTCTATCTCCAAGTTTCCTGGCCTCTGTCTGGGCTCCTGGACCATTTCCCATCCTGAACAGCTTTTTCACCTTGGGTTTCTAAATATTTAGTATAGTTATGCTCAAACTGTGCTCCTACTGTATCAAATAAGTAAACTTTCCATTTTTTTTTTTAATTTCCTTAGATAAATATGACAATGGATATATAAGAAATTTTTAGCAGTGGGAAGTTTATAAAAGATTTCAAATGGTCTCCAAACTTTAAATTTTATAGATTTTAGAGTCCACCTTTCTTTCTGGCCGGCTACCTTTTGATAGTTTCAGGTTTCCTGAACCTACAGCCACACCAATGCCAAGAGAAATCTTTACAAGTTTTAAATTACAATTAAAGCTGAGATTAAAATGAATGAATTTCTTTACCTAATTACATTCACTAGGTCATTTCAAGAAATAGGAATAAGTCAGCAAAATAAGAACTTGTGATACTGAGTAACTTTGCTTAAGAACAGTACCATAAGATATATGCATTCTTTGGCAATTTATAACCTATAAAATGGTGACTAGTTGCATTGTAAAAACATTCTGTGTGCCTATATTTTATCATAGAGATGTGCTTCTGCAATTATAATAATTGCTGATGGTTTCAACAGAACACAATTATTTCTCCCAGGAGTTTGTTGGTATTTGCGTCCTGGAGGAAACATGAGAGATAGTAATCAGTGTTTTAGAAAGAGTTACTTCCTTAAATGGTTGGCTAACTATGAGTGAGTTTCATGACCCTATGGATGAAGACAAGCAATTAAACAAATATATACTTAAAAGCTGCTGTTTGATAAATTTCCATCTTCTTTGGAGCAATGGCCTCAAAAACACGGTTTCCTTCTCTACCTCTTTCCCTACAGACAAGTTTGTTGTCCTCACTAAAGGTGGGGTGGACTTCGTTTCAATCAAAACTGTTCCACTTTTATCATATCTCTCCAGTGTTTCCCACTTTTTTTCCCAAATGAATTTTTATTTTATTTGAAGCTTGTAAAAGAGGTAAAATGAGAGGTAACTAAGGAAAAAATTTGGATGGAGGGCCTGGAGGAAGGGCAGCCCTAACCTGCACTCTCACTTCTACAGGAATCACCCTAGAGCTGCATAAAACACAGTTAGAAAACTCTTGTTCTAAACAGTAGATGCCCATTAGGATTGCTGGGAGAGCATTTAAAAAGTTCTAATGCCTGTGCCTTATTCCCAGAGACCACAATTTAAGGGGTCAAAAGTAAATTCTGAACGTCAGGATTATTTGGAAAGCTCAGGTGATGCTACGCAGGAGCTAGAATTGATAACCCTTGTCCTGGAGTATCACTGAGAGGTCAGGGCAAGTCTGAACCAAATCTTTCTTCTGACACAAACTACAAATCATACCAGGCAGGGATGACCTGGAATTTGGTGTTCCTGATGTGTCTTTGAATCCTTAGGCCTATACAGATCTTGTTTTAGGGTTTTGTTTCCCAGGGTATTTACTCCATGGTTTTCATTTTGTAATAAAGAGTTTTACTGTAAATAGTCAGATTAATAAAATGTTCCCAAAGCTATTGCTATTTTCAATTCACTTACAGCAGCAGTCACAATATTGTTCTGACCTTCTTACTGTTTCTTAAAGGCAGGAGAAGAAATTCCCATGTGAAGGATATCCTCCCTATACTAGAAAGAAAGCAAGATTCTTATCATCAAGGAGGGGCAATTGAGGCTGAAAGAATTTTGTATAGATTTTATTAAAATAATTCTTGCCTTCTTGCCTCCCCAAAAAATTTAGTTGCTTTTTTCAAATTACTATTCTTTGTCCAATTCA